TGCTAGTATTAATAGTATCAATATTAGAACTAGTTAGTTTTGATATGTTAGTGTATTGATAGTTTCGTATATTAGCAGATTAGTATATCAATACATCAATGTATTCGAACAGTAAATTAATTGCATACGTGTATAGTAGTATATTTTACATGTTAGTGCAACTGGTGCATGAATACACTAGTATATTGGTGTATTAGTTTGCTAGTATATTAACATGCCAGTATATTCGTACGTCAGCATATTAGTATACTAGTATGTGTACTATATTCATGTATTGTCTAATCATTTATAACTATATCAGCATATTGGCATATTAGTATACGAACTTGCCATGCCGGTATTATTGCATATTGCAGTAGTCGTACATTAGTATAGTCACATATTAGTATAGTATATTCATACAACAACGAGAAGTATATTGTTACATTTGTATATGGGTATATGGCTATGCCAAAGCATCAATACATGAATGCACTAATGTATATATCTGTATCTTAAGATAGTGGTATGTATTTTTTGTACATCAGCATATGCAGGTGTTTATTAGTAATGATACTAGTTTTCATATCAATACGAATATGCTTTTGGTATTCGTAAGATTATTCATGTCAATATCATGAGAATTAGGACTATTTATGCTCGTATTAGCCATAATATGAGTGTTCATGCTGGTAATGCTAGGTGCATTCTTGAAAATTCAGCAGATTATCATAGTCCGTATTAGTGTTGGTGATAGCACCACTGTAAACACACAAGAGTTTACGTACTCGTATTCGTAGGAGTATCAATAGCTATGTAAATATTGATGTTAGTATAAACATTGTGTTAAGTATTAGCAGTAGTGTTAGCGTTAGTACTATAATAGTATTGATGATCTACGTGCGCAAGAATGTTTGAACTAGTATTACTCTTGATCACGTGAACATACTAACAGATGAATACATGAGTGAGTTAAATGGTTTGTATTTTAATTTAGTGGTATGAATATTTATGTACATTAGTACATGCAAGTGTGTGTGTGTGTGTGAGTATTGGTATTCATATACACTATTATCAATATGAATATGATTATTGATATGCATGGGAATACTAATAGCAATACTAATCAATATTAGTATTTGTGTTATGCATATTCGTACTAGGCTATATAGAAGTGTAATAGTAATAGAAATGCTGGTAAAAGCTTGAGCATTCAACAAATGATCAATGTCAGTATTAGCAATTGCAAGACTATATGTAGGAGTATCAATACATATGTGTATATATAGATAGATAGATAGATAGATAGAGGCATGAGTATTGACAGCCCTTGCCTTTGCAAGTGAGTCGTAGTGCATGGTCTGTCATCGGATGGGTCACAATCAGCCCTCCTGAGAATCAATTCCAAAAGGTCCAGAAATTCCAAAATTTCCAAAATTTCCAAAATTCCAAAATTTCCAAAATTTCCAAAGTTTTCGAAATTTTCGAAATTTCAGAAATTTCAGAAATTTCCAAAATTTCAAAAATATCCAAAATTTCCAAGATTTCCAAAATTTCAGACATTTCCGAAATTTCCAAAATTTCCAAAACGGCCCGACCTAGTGGACAGGATTTTTCCAAAACATAAGGGCGGACTTTTGGGAAATTTTGGAATTCTCGGAAATTTTGGAAATTTCGGAAATCAAGAAAATTGGGGGGAGAGAATTTTGGAATTGAGTTTTTGAGGGCTGAGTGCCCCCTCCCCCGATGACAGACCATGCACCACGTGTGAGTTGGAAGGGCATCGTCTGTCAACGGGGGGGGCGACCATATATATATATATATATATGTATTTATATAGATATAGATATAGATAGCCACAAGGACACGTAGTACAAACAACACAGACAGCTGACAGCGCTGAGCAACACTCAACAAGCACTTGAGCACAGTTTAATTCACGTGCGATCGCAACATCAACATTATGAAGGTGTGTTATTACACACTGTACTCGCCCGCTCTCTTTCCATTCGATCGATGCTTGAGGCTACTAACAATTTGACGGGGATATCATATAAGATATTCGGCACGTTATGTATGGATGCCATGCACCACGACAAGCTTCTGAACGACAATGTCACAAGATGCTAAGCCGTTAATCACGGTCAGTCCAAAACTTTTGGGATTTCGGTTTGTGCAATGTACCACCTATCCATATACTATTTCGCTAGGCAGTTGATATTGTACATATCGAAAGTTAGTCAGATAGACCCTAAAGGTATCGGGTTCATATGTATATATCTATGTATTTATATGTATATAATGTATATATATATATGTATATATGTATATATGTATATATATGTATATATGTATATATGTATATATGTATATATATATATATATGTATGTATATACACACATGCAGAGGTGCTGGTGTACAACTGTACATATACATATAAACATACAAAAGTATATATGCATACATATAACTGGACATATGCATACATGTGCTTATACATGTGCATTTACATAGACATATACATATACACATACATATGCACACACGTACACATACATATACATTACACATACACATACGCACATACGCACAAACACCCGCACTTAAAAACACACACACAAACACACACCCACACACATACACACACACATACACACACACGCACACACACACACACACACACGCATACACACACACACACACATGCACATGATTACACAGATACACAGATAGACAACTACACGCGTACACATACATTCCCATACACACACCTGCACATACACGTACACATACACATGCACGTGCACATAGACATAGACATATCCATATCCATATGCATATGCGCATGCACATGAACAATCACATGCACATGCACTGCAAGGCGGGGACTCCCAGAACCTACTCGAAACCCTCAATGCAAGCAGAGCGCGTACCATCTTTTAGCACAGCGCTGCTCGCTGGTCACGGCTTGAGCCGAAACGTATCAAACAAATTACAGTTGCAAACTACAAAGGAGAACTCCAGGCGGCTACGGGAAGCTAGCTACGACGGGGCCTTCAGGGATCTGTGTCGGGGTCTTGTTTTCACAGCACATGCACATGCACATACCGCATGTGCATTTGCACATAAACATATACATGTACATATCCCATATCCATATGCATTGCAAGGCGGGGACTCTCAGAACATACTCCAAACTGTAAAAGCAAGCACCTCTTTTGGCACAGCGTCATGGGTTGAGCCTAAACGTAACAAACAACTACACTTGCAAACTGTAAAGGAAAACTACAGGCGGCTACAGGAAGCCAACTGCGACGGGGCATTCAGGGGTTTGTACCGAGGTCTTATTTTCACAGCACATGCACATGCGCATGCACATGCGCATACACATACGCGTAGACGTACACGTACACATAGACATAGACATATGCATATGCATGCTCACATATATTCACATGTTCATATACATACACGTATGTATGTATGTATATATATATACATATACATCTATGTTTACATTTGCGTTTATATTTACATTTACATATATACATTCATTAGACATAGGTACATATAATATAGGTACACATTTTTTCATTCTCTGCGGTTGAGTCGGTAAACGACGCTCGCCTAGCAAGGTGAATTCAAACTGCATTTAATTGAAAGTGGGGTGGCGCAGAAATCTATTGACATAGTATGCGCTCACCGGACAGGGGTGGGATGTAGCCAGCAAACGGAAAAGCTGTCCCAACCCCACAACAAAATCAAAGATGGCGCATGGAAGAATGCCTGAGAATGCACGGCAAACAAAGGATGCTTTGTATTCCGTAAACGGCGATCAAAGCATCAGACAACGTACGATCCACATATCGGACCCAAGACGTGCAGGATCTTCCTCATGGGTATCAGCTGAGGCCATTCCTACACGGTTACAATACCCAGGATGTCTAACACCTTCATCGAGGTGATATCGGGACATCAAACTCAACCATAGCATGAAGGCCATAGGACCTCCACACACAAATCTAAAGCGCTCCAGCATCACTCACTTACATGATCAGGAACTGCTAAGCCAGGATAGCGGAGTCAGCGTCATTAGATCGAAGGCCTGACGAGCCTCTGTTCTGCTTGATGGCGCACTGCTGGAAAGCCGACGTCTTCATGCAGCCAGCCGCAAATTCCTGACGAGCCTCTGCTCTGCTTGATGCCTCTCAGCTGAAAAGCCGGCGTCTTCTTGATGGCAGCCATCACGGTGAAGTGTGCGAGCATTGTCCTCCAAACCATCTCCACACATATGTTCAACATGGCCACCTTGCGCAGCATGTCCTTCGAGCCCATAAACACCATCACATCGGGTGAAGTGCATGAGCTGCCAGGTTGCCGCTTGGTGGTGCAAACGCCCTCGCCTGACGAGCCTCTGCTCTGCTTGATGCCGTGCGGCCTGAAAGCCAGCGACTTCTTGAAGCCAGTCGCAGACTCCTTTATGGTGAGTGGTGCGAGCGAGTCCTCCCAGCCCATGTTCAATATGGCCACTCTGCACAGCATGTCCTTCGAACCCGTAAACACCATCGCAACAGGTGAAGGGCATGAGCTGCTAGGTTCCCGCTTGGTGATCCATTCTCCCTCGCATGACGAGCCTCTGTTCTGCTTGATGCCGCGCAGCTGAAAAGCCGGCCTCTTCTTGAAGCCAGTTGCAAACTCATCTGCTGTGTGGTCTGCGAGCATGTCCTCCGAACGAATGCTCAACAAAGTCACCTTACACAGTGTGTCCTTTGCGTCCATGATCGCCATCATGTCGGGTGAATGCAAAACCTGAATGCCCAGCTTGTGCATGGCACACTTGCCGCTATGCATTGCTTGCCCGTAGCCGGCAGACGCACCCATGGCGGGTGCTGGGGCCTACAATATTCCTGCCCTGCGCAGGCGATTTGGGCCCTATAGGTACACATATCCATATACATTTACATGTGCGCACAAATAAACGTGCACACACCCACACACATGTGGATTGGTGAACTCTGAGGCCAAGCTCGGGACCCTGGTGGCCAGGCCGTCGGCATCCGAAGCAGAAGAGACTAGTGAGATCCTTTAAGCATGGGCAAAGACCCACACGCCCGTGGCACGGCGGAGTTCGAATTCTAGGAGGTGGAAGTGGTGGGTTCGCGTTTGGAGTACTCGGCATCACTCGCTTGATGGATTCGTTGTAGCGCCGTGGATAACGGCCCACCCATCGTCGTGCAAAGAGTAGACCACTTCATTAGATCAATCGCGCTCGCACGCAAACACTGTGTAGGTGTGTATGTAATTGTATATATGATACACATGTATGTGTGTGTATATATATATATACATGTTAATAGTCGCACAGAAATCGCTGTGTTTATCGCGCAGTTTGCATGGATGCCTGTAGTGACTCGCAGAGCAAATCTTGTCATGTGCGCTGCAGCGTAGCTAAATTACAACCCGCCTGATGCTGCATGCAACCAGTAGCCATTGTTCCGTGTATTGCTGCTCCACAATTCCACGTCGGACGTGGTGCCTTTGGCAGGTGGTGTGCTGCCACGACCACAGCCGAAAACTCGTCAATTGTTGACATGGCTGACTCAGGGCAACACCCTTAGAGATATCTGAGGCCGAAGCCGGTGGTGCCAAAGACGCAGCCGACGTTGGCGCGATGCCCAAAACAGGTGACGGAGCCCTTGTGATCCTGCCCTCCTCGCTCCAGAGGCAACCAACCTCCAAGTGGCCGACCCAGATGCGATCGTTTCAAGACCGCTCGTGTGGGCAGTGGCAAGAGCGGATCGAACTTGTCGTTGTGTATCCCGACGTTCGGACTGCGCTAAGGCACGAGACAGCGACAGTGACGATGAGCTCATCGGTGCGGATCCAGACGAGGCCCGGCAGCTTAACGAGTTTCAACGCGAGACGCCAAGAGTGCCGGAGGTCGCCCTGGCTCGCGGAGACTTGGAGGAATCCGTCGACTGGTTCGACTGCGAACGCCTCTGGTGACGCAGGCTGGGATCACCGGACCTGCTCTTGCCTGTGTCGTGTAAACCTCAGTCTAAGGCATGGCGGATGCTGTTCTGCTTCTCTGCTCACTCGGGGTTGCTCGCCGTGCCCAGGGTTGTTTCCGTGAAGAAACCGCTTCCTGGAGATACTCTTCTGAATTGCGTGCCCGACATTAGGCTCCCGGTGTTTGCGCGCAAAAATGAGCTAACGAATGTTCTGTAGATCTCAGCATATAGGCCAGGCGGCCTGAGATTAGATCGCGTAAAGTCGTAGAGGTTGATGATGGATTGCTGGAAGTAGAAAGATGTCCCTGCGCACGAGTCAAACCGAACTCGCTGCCAAGATGCTCGGGCCAGTAGCCACATGACAAGAGATCAGAGTTCAGCCCGATTCCACGCTATCCGCACACCATCTCGACCCACCGGCTCTCAAAGTCTAATGTACGGCTCGCCGCAAGTCCTGCGGCGGGCGCGGCGGGCCGCGCTGCGGTGTGCTGGCCATGGATGCGCCACAGCATCCCGAGGCCGGGCAAGGAGAGACGGGAGAGAGCTTGGAGCTCTATCCGAAGCCTTGGGGGGCTCATGTTTGTTTGCATTGCGATGGTGTGTCTGTGACTGCGCTCGTTTAAAGGTGGATCCACCACCACCGCCTCCCGTTGAGCGGAGGGCACCAAAAGCGCGAGGGTCGAGACGGGACGAGAGGGAGGCGGGGGGGCACCTTGAATGTTTCGTGAAGGAGGAGAGCTTTGGCTTTTGGCATCTCAGGAGAAGGTTCGGATCGTGTATCCTCGGGAATGCCCTCACTGTTCCAAATCTTTCCCCTCGAGTACAAGGCCGGGCCCCACAAAAGTGCCTGCGTCAGAGTCCCGAAGTTCGCGAAGCGAGGTATCACAAGCATGTGAGCTTTCACACCGCAACAAAGCCTGGGCCTGAGCGGCTGCATGAGGAGACCGTCTCCGGGTTTCTCTTTGCGTCAGGAGCTTCAAGTGTGATCATCCCGGCTGCAGCAAAGCCTACAAGAGGCTACAGACTCCTTTGAGCATGCTTTCGAGCATAGTCTCGAGTGAGTTCGCCCGGCCGGAGGAAAGTCGACCTGGAAGACCACAAGGCTGTTCACCTCGAAGTGAAGCCAGGGACTACCAGCGAAGCACATGCAAGAGCAGAGTAAGGGAATCTGCATCTGCATCGTTGTCTTGAGGCCCTTCCGGTGTACGGTGGAGTCCTGCGACAGGCAGGAGTCCGATGTGAGAGGCATCGTTTGGAGCAGCTAGACGAAGGACCTTTACCACGAAGCAGTCGCTGATGTCGCATATCGGGCGTGATGGCCCCGAAGAACTGCGCAGCCTCCTCCCCCTTGCCCTGCGCTGGCGAAGTCCTCGCGGAGCTGCTGCGCACCTGCGTCTCGATCTGAGGTGTGCACAACGGCCTGAGCTGCACTGCCTGCGGGCTCCGTTTCCGCAAGAAGGATTGGGCCAATGGAGCCTTGGGATCTGAACGCTGGCAAAGCTGTCCGGCCAGGCGAAGCTGCAGCAGCATTGGGCCATTGTGCATGGGGCCCATCAGGCCAAGGCCTCAGCCATGAGGCCCACGGTTGCGCCACTCTGCCCTGTGTGCAGAGGCCCACGACGGCTCCGAGGTGGAGCCGGTCCGCCGGGCCCAAAGTCTTGTCGAACCACGCGATCTCACGGCTCCTCTCAGGGAAAGTGCCCGGATTGTGGTAAGACCTTCCAGCACCGCGAGTCCTTGGAGAAGTGCGCCAGCCGATTCTCAGCCGTGTGCGGGCTGTGCTCTGTTTCTGTTCGTATTGAGACCGTCGCCGCGTTCGGCTCAGACGCTGTGTGTGTGCGTTCAGGGGTCCCCTGAAAGGGGCTCCCTTTCACGATGCACAGCAGCCGGTCGGAGCCGGGTCTCAGCCCATGGCATCACGAGATGAAGGACCACGTGAAGGGCCGGGTCAAGGAGCCCCTGTGTGACAGAGACAGGTCGAAGCCACAACGCCGCTAGGAATCCTGAATCCACCAACAAACCCTAAACCTAAACGCCGTTCGGCAGGAGCTAGTCCTGGGCCGTACAGGGGCCTCTTGGGAAGACAGGTTGCAAGAGCAGAAAGCCAAAAAGGTCCAGGCAATGAAGATCATTGAGTGCCCCGGCCGCAACAGCATCGGCTTTCAGGGGTACTCACTCGTGCATGCCACGCTGCCACAGGCTGCTCCAGACTCCAGATGCCCCAAAGTCTAAGTTTGGATTTCCATTGCCCTCTTTTTCTTCCCGATGCCCTTCATACCCCGAAGCGCCGGATCGTACAGGAGATGTCGAGCAGTCAGGCTAACCACATGCATCGATTGTTGAACCACAGCTGCTATGGATGCTTCACTCGAATTTCAATGACTTCCACATTGTGTCCTTTCACGATTTCTTTGCAGGACAACGGCCCCCAACGATCGTTGTTTTAAACCACGTGAACTAGTTGTCATGACAACTGCAGATCTGCACGCGCAGACAAAGTCGGGGTAGAACACCTGCTGGAAGATTGACCGAAACGGGTCGGGTGGCGAGTTTTCTATTTTTGCAGTCAGAATGCGTAGGAGATGTGTGAGCTCGCGAAGCCTTAGAACAGTCTTCCGAGCAAGGAAGGAGCAGCGGGAAACGATCAAGACGGCCACCGAGCCTTGGATTTGCAGGGTCAGCGGCAAGCTGAAAGACATCTGGCGCGGTCTTGCAATCTGAGGAGAAGGGCATCGAGAAGCAACAGGCTCCGTCCCGCTTCGTGAGACCTCTCTGCAGCCGCACCCCGCCGCACCCCGACGCCAGCAGGTCTACTCCCCGCTGCTGGCCCTCCGCTCCGCGCCTTTGCTCTCGACCTCAGAGAAGCAGGCAGTACGCAGAGAGCAGGGCTCGGGCACAGAGAGGGCCGTGATTCGTGAGGCGTAGGCGGGCCCTTGTCTGCGGCTCCCGGAAAATGCTCAAAGGCTCTTTGGGATTGTTTGGAGGCGCAGCGATTGGACGAGCGAAGGAGGGACATGGAGAACAAGATGCGACTCTTGGACCTGTCTGGGTGCTGTGTTCAGTGCGGCCTTGTCCTTTTCATAGTTCCGCCCAAAAGAATAAACAGACCGGCTAGTAGACCTTCTTAAATAATTCCTACTAAGGGATATAGGTATCGGTATCGGGCTCTGTCTATTACTTCTAAAAGGACAAGGGTGGTTCAGTGAGTCAGACAGATGGACGACAGACGAGTGTTCAAGTGTGGGCCTGTACACCTGAAGCCGAATTTAGTTCATTGTTGCATGTTGGGCACGTCCTGCACAGCCCCGGAAGCTCGAAAGCCAGGTAGCTACCACGTCCAAAGGAGCAAGATCCTGGACCTGCGCTCATCTTTCTCTGTCGGGTTGTCACGTTGCCGTTGCTTACTGGAAAGGTTGGCAGTCATCCGCATAGAGCCGGAGCTCGCAGAAAGTATAGAATTAGTATAGAAGGATGAACGACCACAATGATCAGTGCTTCTGTGTTACTGTCCCTGTCAAGAGGCATGCGCAAAGTCAAGATGTCGCAAGACAGACCCAAGCTTTTCAGCTGAACTTGGGGCTTTCAGGAGAAGATGCGCGCCAGGGACCCACTTTTCAAAGTGGAGGATGTCTCCGCGGCCAAGGCGCACACAGGGCCTAAATCGTACGACTTGCACCAGTGATAATTAGCTTTTTCGAAACCTCACCACCAACTCTGAGGCTGCGCTGGCCGAAGCCAGGCGGAAGAAGCAGGCGGAGCTGCAAGCGGAAGAGAAGAAGCCGCTCTTCCGCACAGAAATCCTGACAGATGTACGGAACGGTTCCTTGCTGGTTGGGGTTCCTCGTCCGAGGGTCCTGGGTACTGGCAGTACCGCCTGCAGTATGAGGGAGCATGTGTTCCCTGCTTTGTCCGAGACGATGGGAGCACCTGGAAGAGTGTGCTGCCAAAGGATGCCACAAAAGGCGGGCTTCACATGGCTGCAGATGGCACAGGTGTTAAGAGTGTGGCCTATAGCGGCATGATAACGGTCCCTGCTGTGAGCCTGACCAACAGACTGTTCTCATCCTCAGGCAGACTCTGCAGCTTGGCGAAGCCAAACTCTGTTATGGTTCTTGCTTGGCGATCTCTGGAAACTGGAAAATCATCCCCACGGTAGTTGGGGTGATTGGTGATTAGAGTTGCTACTCGTAGCTTGATTCTCTCCGAGGTACGACTTGCACAACAGCCCCTCCTTCGACGAACGTCTCGCGAAAGCGGTCGAGCAAAAGACGAAGGAGGGCCAGGGCGGCCAGGGTTCAGAGCGAGCCTCTTGCAGCTTTGAAGCCTCTCATCGGCCCGCCCGGCCCCAACCGGACCACCGGACCACCCAGGAACTGAAAGACTTGGAAAAGGCGCAGAAAGACCGAATCAGGCGCAATATTCTCGTTCATGATCGTGCAAGACTTACCATGCCTTCTTGTAGCCTGGAACTTGGACAGGGAGGCCGTGGAGGCTGGCCACAACAAGTCTGCTGCGGTGTCCCCACTGTCGGCCTGTCTGCGGAATCCACCAGACAACATGGAGACCCCTGGCAACAAGAACCGTGAGGGCTGAGCATTCAAAACTCCATGACCGAACACTTTCAGCACCAATCTCTTTCCGGCATGCTATGGATGCTTGTACGTTTGGCTCGCTGAGGAGGCAGCGTGAAATTCTTGAAGAGCGCAACCGTACCATGGCAACTGCAGCCAGGCGACTTGGGACCAGGGGCACGAGTGCGCCTTTGTGCCCGACTTTGAAAAGTGTCATTGCGGCCTGCTGCGGCACGAGTCGTTTGTACATTCGTATCGATTCGATGTCGATGTCCAGGGCACACGCGTCGCGATGCCTTTTGATGTCTAGAGTGCGTCAATTCACGATGCTGATCAACCAACTGTTTCATGTTGTGCTGTTGCGAAAGCGGTTGCTGCCTTGGGAATATGCAGGGAGTACCTTCGCAAGCGAGACGAGTCACTC